GCCTTCTTGCCGCGCGACGGGCCTCCTGGGGGGTACCCCTTCATGGCACACCTTTCTCATATACTCGTCGATTCATCATCGATTCAGGGTACATAAATAACTTTGGTGTCAAACGAAATTGATAACTCCCTCGAATAAAAAACCAATTTCCTGCATTGTTGGGTTCTTAATTTCCTCGCGAATCGCGATGCGAATATTATCACAGGACTGCTGGGCAATGAGAAGCGTTCGACCTCAAACGGGACCGATCCGTGACCCTACGTGCCTACATTCAGCTTTCAATGCTAAATCTACCATAGCAACAATGCGCATATCGTTGAAGTCATGATGACTTCGAATAAGGTAAACTGCGTTCGATGCAACTCTCAGGTCAATAGCTTTCACTGTAACTGGAGAGTCTTGTGAGAAATATACAACTTCGCAAGTATGCTCGGTTATGAGCAAAACTTTCGCCCATGCAGGCTCGAACCCCACCTTTCGCTTACTGGTTACTGACAATGATCTCACAGTTATTGGAAAAATCTATACAAAACTATGCAAAATTTGAAGGTCCAAAGTCTTACTGAATACCCACCTTGCCACCTTCGCGAAGTATGTAACACTGATGAATGATTTATTTGAAATGTTTCCACATGAGTAGTGAGCTTGGAATAAACCACATGCAATAATGCTGAACAAGAACAGATATTTATACGATAATAAAATGATTTTGAATGAACGTACCCAATGATACCCGAAAAGTGAAACAGCTCACTGCCCATATACGCCAAATACGCCAAGCCAAACATGATAACAGGCTCAACCACTGAATGATGCCATTACGAAATCGAGAGATGAGGAAAATAAGAAAAGAGGGTGAGGTCCCTACCACACATTATCGGTGAATACGAACAAGCTCAAGTCAACTACGTATTCCACTCCTCGAACTTCAGCTATGTGGCACTAGTTTCCGGCAAGGGATGGGACTGCAGAGCTTAAGCTGAATATCACTTCACATGAACATTATGGCTTCACCATGGTATCCGAAACCGTATTTTCGGAAAGAATGTATACGGCAGAAGTTGTGAAGTGGCAAGAGGAACAATTACTTCATGCAAAGTCCAAAATCCGAGCCTGGATGGCACGCTGTCAAGTCCAAGCAAGCCTTATTTTCTTTCGAGCTGAGTTAATTGGTATCTCTTGTCTGGGAGGATAAAACCCCTGCCATGTACACTTTGTAGGCAAGATCACGTTCAAAGGCCACTATTAGTCTGAATGGTAGTAGAATACGTGAAGCATCCCGAAATAGGGGTAGGTGTCGCGAGGGTTTTGTGGATGAGGCACCCGGCCATGTGCGAGGGGTTTTTGGGGATTGATGGACGGCCAGTTGACTTTAAGAGCAACAATCAGGCAACAATGGACAATTTGCGGGCAAGGACCGCCTAATAATGAAGTTGTAGGTGAGAAGTTGGGCAATGGAGAAAGAAAAAGTAGAAAAAAAAAAACGTCGGACAGGGGCTTAGACAGGGACTCCTCCTCTGCCGTTAAGCGATGGGGGGAGACGTGTGATGGACGAGTTGTCCGAACCTGCCCGCAGTTGCATTTCCTAATCGTTTTTGAAGAAAGGTACGACGCAAAGAACTGTGAGCGAGTCTGCAGGCGGTCGCCGTTCTGGTGATAGTATCGATACATCTTGGCTGTGAAGAATGCAGAATGAAACCAAAACTATTCAAGGATGGGGCTTGATTGCTCAAAACTGGTCCCGCAACGTCTTCGCACCTGGCCAAGCCATCATCACGGCTGGGAGACAGCGGCCATGCCCGCTCCCGCCCATCCCAGTCCCGCCTCCGCCCATCTGCTGTAGTTCGTCGCCCTTCCTACAGGCTTCCAAAGGTGAGTTCATGTTCAGTTCTCCTTTCAGATATGTTTAACTAGGACCAGTGCTTCTCTCCACCCCATTAGCGACTATTGCTCGGAACCCTGCTTGGACTGTGCTTTAAAAGGAGCAGGTTGAATAAGCTGCAGGCGCTCCATTGGTTCGAAGGGTAGAGGCAAGGTACGAGGGCGACAGAATTTTTCGACCATGACTCGTTACACATTTTGAGAGTAGTGCGAGAGTGAAAGTTACACTGCGGCGGAGTACATGAACGGGACCCACGCGCACAGCGGAAGTATTAATGTACCGCGTGCGTCGATGAGAGTGGAACTGATCATTCGGAAATCCTGCGACGATGCCGGGAGGATCCTTAAGCGATATTGAAGCAATGCGGTGAAGGGGTCATGATAGCGGAGACAAATAAAACTAGTGAAACAAAGATGTCGTAGCACCCGAGGAATGGGGCCATTTTATCGCCGGGTGGCTTCCGAATGTGCAGCAGATCATCGCTGCTGGAGCGATCACGTTACGTCTGCTCTGTGATTCCATGCTGTTGGGGAAGATATAATCCGTGTTGCTGGGAGCAGAAAAACTGCCCTTGAAAAGGCGCTATTAGGTGTTGAACAGGGCGCCAACTTTGGTCCTTCCGCCTTTGGTCGACACGCCCCATTGCTAGTCGTGGAGATCGCAAGCAAAGTGGATTACGCGTAAAGGACAAGGTAACCGACAGATTCATTATATGTCTCACGCACCATACTGATGCGGCTGTGTCATTTGAACTCGTCACGTCTCTTCCACTCTCAAGATGGACGAAAAGAGGTCTTTGATAAGGGCTTTATAACGGTTTTCTCAATTGTCATTTTTATTCAGTCAGATCGATATGGTTCACTTTCGCACATCGACAGTTTACCATGGCGCCAGAGTCAACCCTGCGTTGCGCAGTTTTCAACGGCCGTTGCGCAGTTTCGCCCGATTAGACACGTTCTCTCGCGCGAACATTCACACTCGCATGCTCGAGCCGTCTGCGTCTCCGCCCATACAGCGTGCGTTGAGGATCTCTCAACGTGCCGTTGCGAACTGCGCAACGCAGGGTTGACTCTGGTACAGGGTCTGTCTATCGTTGTTACTTTTCGAAAATTTTTTACGACCCCTCTCCCCCAACGTGGATTTGATACGAACCCCTTTTCCATACCTTCCACCCTTATATACGCCCGCTGAAACGGCAAATTTTTATCTTGCGCGCCCTCCCTCGCGCCAGCATAATGCGCCCTCCACTCGCCCAGCCTACTACCCACGAAATCTTAGTTTCACCTCAATCCCACACGTGATTTCGAGCGACTAAAGTGGGTACGACCCCCCCTCCTACAAACTCAACCAGGTACGACCCCCCGTTGTTACTCGTAACAACGTAGGGTTGACCCTGGTTGCTACCCATCAATTTGACTCGGGGTTTTTGCTACAATCGACCATAGAGGTGTTGCGGTTTGACATAGAAGGACGTACTGATGAATGGATCCAGAACAAAATTCAAATACGAAATTTGCCAAATTACCTCGAACGTGTTGTGTGAATTTCGTAATAAGGGCAGATATAAATCCACAGAGAAGACCAATCGATAAGCCTCCCAGTGAAACGCATAAAAATGCTAGAAAGCCCATGAAACACTGAAAACACCTCGTAACAATCGAAAGAATTGGAAATTGAGTTTCATTGTAATCTGACGTACATCCATGAAACCTATTTCTTCGAGCTCCTTGAATTCGATTACTAGATTATAACAGACTATAGTTACAGCGTCATTCAGTAAGGATTCTCCGAAAACCATAAAATATAGCATCTTGTTCACACCAACTTCTTGAAATATCGCCAGTACCTGGAACATCGAAAAGTACTCAGCCTTACTTCGTCTAAACTATAGGTGCGGATCAGAATCAGCCACATTAGAACATCTGCGATAATGAAATTCATCATAGATGAACAGGTAGAGGAGGCGCAGTGGCAGCAGGTATCTCTATCAATGCGCACGGTTCGCTTGCCGAATCCAGGTTGGGCCTGGGTACCCTACTGGAGGCCCGCGCGCGGCAAGAAGGCAGAGCCAGCGGTCGAGTCAAAGCGCGGGATGTGCGATGTGGGACGTACAGTGTACATTCTCTTAAACATGACGCGAAATCACAACAGTACGGGTTGGACCTCGCCCAGGCCATACAAGCGTTCCCTCCTTCCGAGATGGTGGTTGATGCTATACTCGCGGGAGGATAAAAACAATGCTGCTCACCCCTCTCCTCCCCCCCCCCGCCCTCGTCATCGTAGAGGTCCTATCGCGTTCAAGTGCCGGCACGATGCTGAATGGAAGTGAAATCCATGGCGTACTCCAGAAAGAAGATGATCGGCGAAAATTTTACATTTCTACATAAGTGGTCGGCTCGAAGGCAATTATGAAGTATCCCCATTACCGTTGCTCTCGTGCTGAAGCGAAGTTTCGGATCGAACCTCGCTTAGGCTAACCGAGTCTCACACCTCTACAGTTTTGTCAGTCAGGTGCCGGGCTAACGAGTGGACCACAAAGCTGACTTCATCGACTAGCCACATCGAGTTTTTCAGGAGGTCACATTGCGGCGTCACGCAGAAACTGGCGGCGCGTAATAGTTCATCATCGCTGCGATGACTTAAAGGACGAATTCACGATGAAAAAGCAACCCATTTCAAATTAACCTAGGGATGGTGAGTGGTACACGAAAGAAGGAAGAACCATGAGAAACGGCCCAGAACCCGAGAAATGGGACCCCTTCCTTGCCCGTTGATTTGAGCATTGATGCGACTCTCATCGCTGTGCCCTCTTCAACACTACGCTCTCTCAGCTATCTAATCACTCGCACATGATCGGTGGGCGGAGATCGCCGGACCCGCCAGCTTTGAGGCATGATAGGTCGCCGAGGTCAAATTTTTCCATGCGAATTGCGCGTCAGTTCGCACCCTCAGGAGGTCCGTGGGTCCCTCAACTAGGTCAGTTTCCCTTTCTTCGACCTTCATTCTAATCGTGAATTCCTCCTTTAAGCGTTTTGGACACGGTGAGCACCCGAAGGATGCGTGAATCATGATGTTCCTTCTGTAGTCACGTGGGCGACGCATTGACGCGCTGAAGTGTGTGCTCGCCTCCCACTCATTCGTTTCTTTTTCATTCGTTTTTTATGCGCTCTCTCACCGAGGAGAGAATGGGTCGAGCCAGTCCGCCCCGGCCAACTATACTGAGCGCCCTTCATGTGGGAGGTGAAGGATAGCACGCATTCTACAGTGGCCTCGCGTAGTATGGTGCCGCACACGGGGATGAACTCGTGAACGCTGCGACGTTCATCCATTTTTGGATTGCTGCCCTGGACAGGGGGGGTAGCCTCATTGTGAGCATAACCTATAGGATTGTTACTGCAGAAATCGCGTCGATGCGACGCGCAATGTACGTGACTGCGGCAGGAACATCGTAATTCACGCTTCCTTCGGGTGCTCACCGTGTCTAAACGGCTTACGCCCTCTGCGGCATGTAGCGTGAGAGACGCCTTTTGTGACACCGCGTCGCTTCCCACAAGAATTTCTGAACTATTACCGACCACTTTATCTCATCGCAAAGATTAATGCGAAATAAAAGAACCGCCACGACTTTGAATGGTACTGGATTGCACACGAAAATCTGATGAAGAATGTCAATCACTTAAAATTTGACGAACAAGTGTTTTTTGATAACGAACCGCCACTGGGTCGACGGCGGCGATCAAGGAAGCAAATACAAGGCAGTCAAGTGCATCAATTCGGAAACCTTTCATCATTCCCAAATCCGACAGAGCAATCAGACTTCCGCCAAGTAGAACGATGTTCAATACAGTACCCTGAATTCAGCATTGGTTTCATTTCTGATATGTTTACGTGTTACCCTATAGGGAGAGCATTTTGCTTGAACTGCTCCAAATCGGGTTGCGGTTCCTCAACTTTTGCTCAAAAAAATCTTCACAGTTATGGTGATCATCGTGCTGACGTCATGTGTATGAATTGTGAGCTAGCGCACAAGAATTTCTGTGTAGGAGCTTCTGAGTTCTTCCCCTGTCAAGGTTCTCTGATTTCGAATACCTTGGATGCAGCATACAAAATGCCCCCTCATAGGGTAACAACACTGGTAATTATTGAAGCTTTTTTGAGAGAGCCCATCACTTACCACGACTGCATACAAGACTATTGTCCCAAAGTTTTCAAGAAATGCTCGATCACGAAGCGAATAGGCGGATTCGAGAATAATTGGTGGCAGAAGAAAAAAGAAAAATGTTTTCGAGTTGAATTCCAGAAATTTCACTGATTCATGAGTGTCGTCGCTGCTGAAAATCACTTTACCGGCACTTCCTGTAGTTTTGAGCAACTTTTTCATTTGCGTTCAAAGATGAGCCAAGTCAGGCATCTTATTTTTCAAGAGTATGTTAATGGCGCTGTAACACTCAAGTAGCAAAAAAAGAAGAAAAAAGAAACGTCGACAGACGAGGACGAGGTCCCGGGTTAACAACAGGTTCCACTCGTTGCACTCGATCGGTTTGGTGGTTTGGTGGTCAAATCCCTGATCGAAGTTTGCCGAAGCCAACCGAGCTGCCTATCGCTTCAGGGTTAGCTATAAGTGACATCGGAGCATAATAACGCTCAATTACACCTAAGGCAGGATTGGGGATAACATAGGTGTGGAGAAGCGCTCAATATGAAGCCAGAGGTGGGAGGATAGTCCTGGAAAGATAAAAAAAAAAAAGAAGAAGGAAAACAAACAGAAACGTACCGATCGGAGCCCGCGCAGAGCCTCTCTTTGATTGTCAGCGCATTCGCACACTTTGCTCCAGTTGCCAGTGAAATGGGTACGCATGGGACCGCTGCCTCTAATGCGGCTCACGGCTTTCAATAGGCCCGTGGCAACCGTCGCGGAGGTTGGGGCTTGCGGACGAAGGTGTGAGTTGCGAGTTGGACGAGCTTCTTGCGCATTTGTCGAGCACTTTCAAGCGGCAGAAAAGTCGCGACATCAACGCTTGTCCGCGTGTCTACTACCTCCGGGATGGAACAGCGAGCGCGCCTAATTCCCGCAACGTTCTCGATAAAGCAGTCCAGTCAATCATTGCGGAATAAATCGCGTTCAAGTGCACGCCTATTCTATGTGGAGGGTATTCGTACTTTCGGGTCTCATCCAGTAAGGGGGGCATCAAGTGGCTGCCCTCACCCCCACCCCCTAGACTGCCTACACTCCCCCTGGCGCACAGGTTTCTCGAAGTACGGGACCCCGTGAGCCAGGGGGAGTGAAGGCAGTCTAGGGGGTGGGGGGTGAGGGCAGCCTATAGACGTTGCATCACATTCGGTTTCTCACGAGAGCTGTGGTAAAACGACCTCTGTGTTCATCCGCGAGAAAGTGGTAAGCGGCAAAAGTTACCACATATGAGCACTGCTACCTTGATTTCCCTCTCTAATTCTCAAGACCCTGGCAACGGGCACGACGCCCTGCAAACGAAGAATGTGGGCAGTGCAGTTTGCAAAAAATTGCCGACTTTGCCGAAGGAACAAGCTTATATATTTAGCATTGCAGCAAGGCGGGTAAAATAGGAAGGAAAGCCATCTTTCCTGTTGCACCGAATAAAGAAAAAGTACTCACATGAAAATAAGCCCCAGAAAAACGCCAACAACAATTAGACAGCAGGACTCTGGTATGATTTTCTGAATGAAACGTGTGTGATGATATCCTGAAATAGGCAATTTGACGGAGTCAACACTTTCAGATTATTGGAAGGCGAAGTGGTTGTGATGACGTCATTTGAATGGACCTCCAAGAGTGCTAGTTGTAAGATGTGACTGGGCCCGCCTCTCGATGCTCTTTCACCAATAAAGTTCAAAACCTTCCAACCCTTTTTAACTGTCATATTCACCGCCTTCAAAGTGATACTTCAGCATTATTTTGCTCCGAGGTCTTATCTTGGCTAGAACGTTAAAAATAATTTGAGACTATGAAATGCTCTCTAAGAAAAGTCCCAAATTTTCGGGTCATGCAAGATGGAGGGGGGGGGTGAACATTTGAGTGTACAAATTTTGACTTGTTTTTGTTGTTAACTGCTGTTTTTGGCCGCAGTTCGCCTTGCGAATGTTTCACAAGAATGCTGGGTTGTGAACAAAACTTTCGCCCCAGACGGGACTTTTTTTCATTTTTTCCTCTTCTTTTTCTTTTTTTCTTTTTTCTTCCCCACTCCCGTCCGGGGCGGAAGTTTTGTTTATAATCCAGCAACTTGTAAGTGTACAATATTTTTTCCACAAATTCCTGCCAACTGAGACGTCGGAACATTACAATACTACAAGATTTTGACAATTCTAAGAAATCGCTCATTAACATTCTAAACACTAATGAGCGCTTCGGAGAGCAGTACTCACCTAACTTGAAGATCCCAATTACTATGATGAAGATTGTGAGCACTAGCGGTTCCTTGACATAATCGAACTTGAACGAAGCGACTTTGACACCATGCCCATAGGTTTTGTGATCTTCCGAGTGGTTACCATTGTTTTCAACCGTTTCAACTGATGAAATGGGATGCGCACTGGCAGCTACCGTTTCTGCGGAGTTGATAACATCTGGATTTGCTTGAAGAAGCGATGCCAATACCGTCCTCAAAAATTCAAAAATCATTGCTCAATCTCAGCCTGAGGCCGGATTATCTTTCCAATGCAGCGACAACAGCGCGAGACACATATGTCCCGCGTTTTCACACGGAGGAGGCTCGTTAGGGTTAATTTCTGTTCCCATTTTTATGCTTCAAAACCCTCCAGATCCATTATCGGGTATGAAAAAATAGTACACTCTTTACCAACAATGGGTTATTGGAGAAGTAGTAACAGTTGATGTATGTCATTTAGCTCAACTCTTGTGCCGTGATTTACTTCTCAAGTACTAACTGGGGCAGAAGATTAGGCATTCAGCACGTCATGCAATAATTGCATTGAACTTACCAATCTTGCTCTAAAAAATGGCACAGAATCGAATTTGAAATTTGGCGGCTCATGATGAATGCAGTATCAATAAAAGTGTTTCGACTATTACGATCCGAGCAAGCGTTGAGTCAAATCTGTTAGCAATCTTTTTGAGCCTCCGTCCCTAATCCTTCAAGGGGACACAAAAATGATATGTAATTCATGATTCGATGAATTCTCAGAGGTATACTGAAACTTATCTTTTGTATTCTTTGTGTGGAAGATTCCAGTATTCAGTAAGGTTAAAAGAGGCGCGCTGTAGGAGGGTGACGCGCCCTTACGCAACGACCGCGACGCGAACGCTGGAAGAACACAAATGTTCACTTAGTCGTATGATCCTCTCGTACATTGTTTCTAACGACCTATACCATTTCCAGAAAGGTCGAAAACTGCCAATTCGCATATGGAAAAAAATAAAAGTAGAAATCGCTCAAACATATGTGACAACCTGATGTTGTCCATCTAGTCGTTTTGCAGCCACAGTTCAACATGTTTAGAAAGGTCTACTCCTAGTCAATCACTCGATTTTCCTAAAGGTTACGGTTTTTGATAGCCTACGTTAGTGCGAGGATTTTGGATGGGTTTAGAATTGAAGGAGGGGGTCAGATGACGCGTCACTGTCAAAACAGCAGAGAAATTCCTCAGAACCAACGAAAGTATAACCTCATTTGTGCTGTCGATTTTGGATTCAAGGCTGTTAGGGTTAGGGTACCTCGATAGAATAAACAACACGACAAGGTGACTAGATACGGCCGTTTTATACAAAAATTCAATGAAATTCGAATGGCAGTCGTTTCAAGATCCCACGTGTGGGCAGGGTGGTTCTGGGCCTTGCGAGGGACGGACTTTTGGCTCGTCCGAGCTGGCACGCGGAAGAATTGCGCGGCGGGCTGCGCTGGCGATTCGGACGAGGCAAGTCTTCGCGGGCTTTTGCAGAGGAATTCGAACAGATGGAAGCGTGTGCAGATCACGTATAAAATCCGTTCGGCGAATCGAATTACATTGCAAAGCATGGAGATTTAGGGACAGTGGTGATGCTAAGGAAGTTTCAGAGAGGAAGAGTTGTGAAGGTTATTAGCATGGGGTTGTTACAGCGATCAGGGCGCTCATGCCGTTAGTGGGGGTCATTCAACTGAGTGACCCAATTACTGCGCTTAGAACTGAGCCTTAGGAAGGGAGTAGGAATCTGGAAGAAGATGTGAACAATTTGTGCTCTCCCTAATGTTTCTTCCGCCTCCTGGGCTTACCATTAGACCTATGTCACTCACCTACCACCGGCCCTGTTTCGAATGTTCCCCCTGAGGAGAGAAAGTGCTGCGATCAGCAAAGCATACATATGTAGTTGACGCATAGACTCTTCCTTAGAAGGATTTCCTATAGTGTTTTCATTGGCTTTGATGATAGCATATGGTGACATTTCCATGAGAGTTCTTTCTCTCTCACTTCTTTGCGCTCACATTTCCTCACTGACACCGCTATCTTGAAATATTTCAAAAACGGAACATTCGTCCAAACCGCAGAATCATGCGAAGCTTATCCAAAATCTGTACAATCTGTACTGTAAGCGTTGACTTCTATTGTAGCGAAGCCTTGTCTTGTGGATCGCCGCGCATCCCACCGCGCGATTCGCCGCGTGCCAGCCCGGACGAGCCAAAAGTCCCGCACCCGGGCCTTGCTACTTTAGGTTTTGAGTTTGATTACTCCGCATCTAGCGCACTATTCGTCGAAAAAGCGAGATCCATGGATGCCGTTACGGCCACGCTACCGCTTGCAGTGCCGCGTACACCTCTCAGGTGCGCATCCACTTTATCGTGCCCACGCCTTGAGTACCAATGATTCGCCAATTTTGAAATTGGTTCCTACTTGAGATGCAGCACCGTGGGTATCCCAGAACTGCTTTATCAAAATTTCACCGCCATGCTTTGAAGCGTTAGCGCTCCTCTTCAAAGGAGTGCCCATTTTATCACATGTCGTGAATTCTCAGCCGGAGCTATAAAATATAAACGGCCGTTTAATTTCATCACCTCCGCTTTCAGAAAACTTTAATGATAGTCTTTCAAAATTAATGGTAGTCGGTGCTATGACGTCATATTGCAAAAAGAAGAACAAAGAACGAAAAACGAGGCAAAAAAAGTAGAAAAAAGTTGAACAATGTTTCCATTCACTCACCTTCGAACACCAACACTATCAGCGTAGCTTAAAATATCGCTCCAGAACTCTGTTTCATTCTCTATGTTCAATTCTATTGACAAGATCGATGATGAGAATATTACCAGCATTAAACATTGCCGTAAAATCATCTGAAATAATCATTTTTCTTAAAGATATATGAACAAAAAAACCGCGGAAATATACCGATCAAATGCAAGCAAGCCAGATGAAACAAAGTTTCGAAGAAAACTTGCCTTTAAATTGAATATAGCTTTTGACACATAAGTGGAGGAGCAAGGGAAGATTTTTGCTCCTTTAATGAATCAGCATATTTCACCCAGTTCAGTAAACAGCTTTTCATATCAGAACAAGCTTAGTTGTCGTGTTGACATTTCGAAAATTTCGCCGCTTATCTGTGAACATTCTTGGCATGGTGAATTTTTTTAGCCTCATTTCGAAAACTACTCCAATACTGGTAAATTTAACTGCGAAATAGAGTAAGATACGGTTTTCTTGTGTCACAAATTATCTAAAAAACGCAAGTTGTGTCCATAGGAAAAGTTCCTTTTGGAACGTTTGAATGCCTTTCACCCTAAAAAAGCATGCTTTGACCTGTTCTTTTGTTTGCGTACAATTTGCTTAATGAGCTGTAAATTTTCCCTCACAAAGAGTGAGACTAACCTTTTGTGACAAGTCGCAGAGCTGAACTCCAGGTTGTTTTTAAGCCAGAGTGATCATCCAAAGTTCTTTAGGTACTCTCGCTAACTATTACGATTCCAGGGTAAAATTCGGTTCTATCCTAGTCCCTCCCAGATATAACTCAAACGTTACCTTCACTCCAAGGTTGATGTGATGGGTACTAGACTCGTCTGGAAGGAATGAAAGACTTCTGCTCTCAGTCCTTACATAGCTCATTTATCTATTGTATAACTTAACATTACAGGGTTTTCCACCCCAATTCGTCATTCTTGCAACCAATTTCGGATACGTTGCAACCGATTTCGTAAACGTTGCAACCAATTTCGTCAAAGTTCCAGCACATTTCGTAAACTTTGCAATCAATTTCGTCATTTTAGCCCCTAATTCGTCATTCTTGCAAGCAATTTCGTAAACCTTGCAATCAATTTCGGCAAAAGTAAAATTTCGCACTGAGAAGACTTGTAGTACAGGGGTGGCCGAAGCACCTGATCACGAATGTGACATCCGCTTGGCGCTGGCGCTAAATTGGCGCCACTTGGCGCGTAGTTTCGCCGCGACTCATCTCCGATGTTGCGTATTTCTCCCATCCTGCGCCCATGCAATTGCGGTACGACAAGCGATACAGTACTACCAAGCAGGGTGAATAACGGTCGAGGAAATCCTCGACCATAGCTCTCTACCATGCGAGAGTAGTGCCGAGAGTGAACATCCGCGCGGAGAGCACAGACGGCACGGCATGGCGAGTGTGAATGTCCGCGCGAGAGATCGTCTCTGATCGGGCAGAGAATCCTCGACGTGCCGTTGAGGAATCCTCAAGCGATATTCACCCTGCTTCCACGCCCTCTTTGTCGTTGATTTCTAATGGCTACCGGCGAGGCTCCGGTGATGAAAAGGACAAGACTAATCATCATGACTACCACAGCTCTGAATACATATTTCGCAGAGTTGAGTCATCCTTTTCTCCTTTGGGATAAGTGACGGGCCCGCGAAGTGTTCTACATATTAATGGAAAGCCATGCCTGGAATTCATCTTGCTCATGTAATTCACTTCCTAACTTAGGCCTTAGAATGACCTACTAGCATATTTGTAATGTTGAAACAATCTGGACTGGAACAATCATTGGTGCTATAGTGTGCAGTGTCGTGAGCAAGGTCAACCGTCACATTGGACCAATTTCGAAAATTTTACGAGCCCCCTCCCCCTTGGAGGGCCTCGATACGACCCCCCCCAGGGCTAACTCCCACGACCATCCTCCCCACCCATATATGGAACGTGAAACGGCAAAATTTTCACACTCACACTCAACCCAAAAGCCCACCCTACAAGAACCCACTATCCATTCCATAGAAAAACATCCCTTTCCTTACTGTGACATTGACGCTACCTACGACCCCCCCCCACCCCCTCGTTGGACTTTGTCCACCGGACGGTTGACCCTGGTCGTGAGGAACTCGAGGGGAAGAAACCTCACTTATGGTTAATACCTGAGGGAAGAGAGAGTTCACAATCGTGAGATAGTTCCCGTCATAAACTGGTTAGTATTCACCTTTCACAGCCGACCTTGTTCTCGGTGTGTTACGAGCCAAAATCCGGAGTTGTTAGTTGATTTAATTGACACTTGTACATATTTACATAGACATTGAATTCTGACACAAAGGTATCCTTGTGAGGATGACCTGTGCTAAAGTGGGATCGCATACCTGTAGATGATAGGCCATGTGATTTGGTTATTCTTTCTGTAAGAGATGCCTATAGAATGTAATTCAGTTCAATCGGAAATGATCCGCTTACAGGAGCGGTTGCACCACTGTTGTGAATTGATTTTTTCAAGGCGTAAGTGTACTCAATGGGGCACCCGCAGACTGAGCCTTGGAGAAGAGGATGAACTTTGTAAGTAATGAAAATTGATTACACATCCCTCTAGTCTCAAGCCTAAGTCTAGGGAGACCGGTAGGGGCAGGGCGAAACTGATTGCAAGGTTTACGAAAATTGCTTGCAAGAATGACGAATTAGGGGCTAAAATGACGAAATTGATTGCAAAGTTTACGAAATGTGCTGGAACTTTGACGAAATTGGTTGCAACGTTTACGAAATCGGTTGCAACGTATCCGAAATTGGTTGCAAGAATGACGAATTGGGCGTTAGAATGACGAAATCGGTTGCAACGTATCCGAAATTGATTGCAAGAATGACGAATTGGGCGTTAGAATGACGAAGATCGGTTGCAAATGTTTTACGAAATTGGACTGCAGTACGTTACGAAATAGAATAGCAAGTGTTCCGAGAGCGAATGCAAAGTGACGGAGTTGGGTCGGAAAACCTGTATTAATCAAATATGTCTTCTTTGATTTAATGAGCAATGGTTCTCTTGATTATGTGTAGAGCAAGTCGCTTGCACAATTTCTGAATGGATGGTGAAACGCTATGGCGCATTCGAAAGGAGAGTGGTCCGCGCTGGACGAGCCATCCCTTTGTATATTGTTTTGGCATGCAAATGCTCACGACCTACCGGACATCATAAAGGATTATACAGCATCCTCGGGTTTCAAGAAGAAGAACATGGAATCTAGTTTAGCTATTGTTCCTTGGAAGTGAGTGTTTTCTCAGCCGAACGGAGTCGAGGGTTCAGGACCTCAGCGAGCCTGGCAAACTTAGGCCAATTTGATCGGTATTTGAAAAATTCACTTCTTGTCTATGGAGCATCGGGGACAAAGTTTGCGATGAACACGAATTGTATTGTACAAAATAATTCTAAATGAGCTATAAATGAATTTCACCATTTGGATTGAGTCATCGGTTTTTTATTGGAATTAATCATATTAATTAGATTTAGAGATTTATCAGGACGCATGAACCGCGATGAAGGTTTTATAAATTACTACGCCGAAGAAATGTGACTGCTGAAAATTTGAGCGAATTTTGATAGATGACTTCGTCTCAAACAGCGATGAAGCAGGAACGCATATTCAACTACTAGGAAAAAGACCAAAATATGCTTAAAAATGAAAAATGGTTCTCTATAAAGATCAGAACATGCAATGCTCGAAGAATCAGCGAGTAACTCACACAAATGCGCTGATAAAATAGCCATTAACGGCAAGTGAAATTGCTTCGGCAAGGGGATGTGTCAACTTGAATGCCGTGTTCGTAACGTAATGCGGACATAGCTTTCAGAGAAATGTTGATTCTTCATAAATCGCAAACGTAGGCGCCTCACCTTGGCAGTGCACCTATGGCTAGTTGGAGTTTGAGATGAAGTGTTTTCAAGTCATTGGACTGGCTTCAGGACCGAACACTCTTTTCAGATTGTGTATTTTTATGTTCTATATATTTCAGAGCTCCTCCTTCGGCTATTTCAGTCGTAATAACTAGGGGCACGGGTTGGGGGGACACAATTCATTGTTGGAATTTTTCATGGCCGATGTCGAAAGAACAAGAGAATGCTTGTTTAGGATCGGTTTGTGAGTTTTTATTTGATTTTCTATCAGTTACATGAATTTTTTTTGCTTCAGAACTGAAAACAGCATTTTATAACGCCTTTCTCCAAACACCCTCAATACAGTGGTAGATTTCCAACGCCCTTCCCAGCTACGCTACGTACTTCTTCCGAAGAAAATGACCACGATGCCTCGAGGGCGTAGCCAGCGATACTTATGACCTCATTGGTGGAAACACTTCAAGAGGTGGGCACAACCACACCCAGGATGGATATTGCTTGAGGATTCCAGCGGCACGTCGAGGATTTCCGTCCTGATCCTTTATGTTCTCGCGCGCGGATATTCACTCTCGCCACCCGCGAGCCGTCTGTGCTCTCCGCGTGTACATTCAGCTATCGGCTCTACTCTCGCACAGCAGAGAGCGATGGTCGAGAATTCCTTGACCGTTATTCACCCTGCCACCCGTGTGGGTCTACGGCGTAGTTCACTGGACGGAATCAAATTGTACCACGATCCAGTCAGTGATCAGGTCTTGAAGATTACTCCTACGATATTGAGCGAAATATTTGTGAATAAGTTGCACGACTCAAGAGGGGCAAGGGAGCGAGGCTATGGCTGGTGTCGACCCTCGCGAATAAACAAATAAAAAAAAAAGAAAAAAAACCAGAAATCGCTAGGGGATGAGCGTGCCAGCAGATCAACAGTGTACCAGCAACTCGATGCTATTTGAAAGGACGACGGGAGGTTTCCGAGCTCTCATGCCTCTCTCTCGCTGCTTCTCGTAGAGCAGTAGAAATTGGCGGAGAGCCAACGTTCAAGGCAGGCCCTGAATTCGCGAAGTCTGAAACTGGCCTATGCGAGGTGTCGTTTTCGCAAGAGATTTTTTTTATTTTATTCACTTCCTTCGATAGATGCTCTTCCGTACTAGTATCAGTATCAGTTGGGGGTAAGCCAAGGTATTGTTGTGGACAACAATAGACTTAATCAAATCAAACAAAGTTAAACAAGAACA